TGTTTTCCAAAACTACCCTGGAAGAAGAAAAATTATATTTTCCACAAATGTGGCTGAGACATCTCTGACAATTCCTGGGGTAAAGTATGTGATTGATTCTGGTATGGCTAAAGAAAGCAAATTTGAACCTGCAAGTGGCATGAATGTTCTAAGAGTTTGCAGAATCAGCCGGAGTTCTGCTAATCAAAGAAGTGGCCGTGCTGGAAGAACGGAACCTGGTATATGTTACAGACTCTACTCAAAAAATGATTTTGAGGCGATGCCTCCTTGCCAGGAACCTGAGATCCGTAGAGTTCACCTTGGTGTTGCAGTTCTGAAGATTTTGGCTTTGGGCATCAAGAATTTAAAAGATTTTGAATTTATTGATGCACCTTGTTCTGAAGCTATTGACATGGCCATGCGGAACCTTATTCAGTTAGGAGCTGTGAAGCAAACTGATGATGTTTTTGAATTAACCAAGGATGGTCGGTTCTTGGTTAAATTGGGTGTTGAGCCTCGGCTTGGTAAATTAATCCTTGGTTGTTATAACCACAGCTTACGTAGGGAAGGCCTTGTTCTTGCAGCTGTAATGGCAAATTCCAGTAGTATATTTTGTAGAGTTGGTAATGATGAAGAAAAACTTAGATCAGACTGCCTTAAGGTGCAATTTTGCCATCGTGATGGGGATCTTTTTACCCTTCTCTCTGTGTACAAGACATGGGATAATTTGGCTCAAGAGAAGAAAAACACATGGTGTTGGGAAAACAGCATTAATGCCAAAACTATGAGGAGATGCCAAGAAATGGTAAAGGATTTGGAGTCTTGCCTTAAACATGAACTCAATATGATAATTCCTAGTACCTGGTGTTGGAATCCACATGAATCAAATGATTGTGATAAATATTTGAAAAAGGTTATACTTTCTTCCCTTGTGGAAAATGTTGCTATGTTCTCGGGACATGATCAACTTGGTTATGAAGTGGCATTAAGCGGGCAACATGTTCGGTTGCATCCTTCGTGTTCATTGTTAGTATTTGGTGAGAAACCTAGTTGGGTAGTATTTGGTGAACTCCTGTCAATTTCTAATCAATATTTAGTCTGCGTCACTTCCATTGATTTCAACTCTTTGTCTACCCTATCTCCTCCTCCTTTGTTTGATGTATCTAAGATGGAAAGTCAAAAATTGCAACTGAAAGTTTTGACTGGTTTTGGCAGTACTCTGCTTAAAAGATTTTGTGGGAAGGGCAACGGTTATCTGCTTCATCTTGTTTCACGTGTTAGGTCAATTTGCAAGGACGAACGTATCAACATTAAAGTCGATTATTATCAGAATGAGATTACGTTGTTTGCCACCTTGCATGACATGGATAGGGTTTCAAGCTTTGTATATGATGCCTTGGAGTGTGAACGAAAATGGATGCGAAATGAATGTTTGGAGAAATGCTTGTATCATGGTTCTGGTGTCTTGCCTTCAATAGCATTGTTTGGAGCTGGTGCTGAGATCAAGCATCTGGAGCTTCAAAAAAGGTGTTTGACTGTTGATGTAGTTCATTCAAAACTAGATTCTATGGATGATAAGGAGTTACTTAGTGAGCTTGAAAAGTATGCCTCTGGTAGTATATGTGCTATTCATAAGTTCACTGGCACTGGGCAGGAAAGTGTTGATAAAGGAAAGTCGGCCAGGATAACATTTTTAAGTCCTGATGTGGCTCAAAAAGCTGTTGAACTAAATGAATCTGAATTTAGTGGCTCCATACTGAAGGTTATTCCTTCTCAGGTTGGGGGTGATCGTAAAATGTTGTCGTTCCCTGCTGTTAGAGCTAAAGTTTATTGGCCTCGCAGGCTAAGCAGGGGGATTGCAATTGTCAAATGTGATGTGGATGATGTTGCTTACATGGTTAATGATTTTTTTAACCTTTTAGTAGGAGGAAGAATTGTTCGTTGTGAAACTAGCAAAAGATCCATGGATTCTGTTGTGATCAGTGGACTTGAAAAAGATCTTTCTGAGGCTGAAATTTTGGATGTGTTGAGGACTGCTACAAGTAGGAGAATCCTGGATTTTTTTCTGCTGAGAGGAGATGCTGTAGAAAATCCACCATGTGGTGCTTGTGAAGATGCTCTCCTAAAAGAAATATCAACCTTTATGCCTAAAAGATACTCCCACAATAGCTGCAGCATTCAGGTTTTCGAGCCTGAACAAAAGAATGCTTTCATGAGAGCTTTGATTACATTTGATGGAAGATTACACTTGGAGGCGGCAAAAGCTTTGGAACAATTAGAAGGGAAAGTATTGCCTGGGTTCCTTTCATGGCAAAAGATGAAGTGCCAGCAGTTATTTCATAGCTCTCTATCCTGCCCTGCCCCTGTTTATCCTGTGATCAAGAAGCAGTTGGATTCGTTACTTTCAAGTTTTTTTCAACTAAATGGTACTTCTAGTCGCATATAGTAATCTTGCTGCATTTTCTTTTCCAATTTTATGCTATATTTCTTTTCTCTGGCTAACCATTAATGAATTTCATTTGATCTTAACCTTTCTGTGGTTATAAGTACTTGGATATTCTTCTGTCTCTGCTTCACTTTTTGTATTTTATTTCTCTGTGGTTATAACTTTTTCATTTTTATTCATCCTCCTTCATGTCTTGTTGGTTTGGAGTTGCTTTATCTTTGTTTGTTCTGTGAATTACTTTTTTTCTTTCTTTCCTGGAAATGGTCTTGCACTTGATATGCATTTGGACTGAATTCTTTCCATCCTTGCAAAAGTGTGTCAACTTACATAACTGTCCTTTTGATGGAGCTTTTAAAAATATACTGCACTCTTTAGCTTTATTTCATTGATTCTTAGAAAGCATATAATACCCTGTGCATTGCACCAGCTAATTCATTCTTATATTATTTTTTTTATTTATTACTGATTGTATAATGCTTATGACTAAATTTGAGAACATCATGTATGTTTTCTTATAGATAGAAGTGCGTGTTTGACCATCTTGAGTTTTTTTCTTGTTTACAGGTGTAGAATGGAGTTTAGATAGGAATGCTAATGGCTCCTACAGAGTGAAGATATCTGCCAATGCTACAAAAACAGTTGCAGACCTGAGAAGACGTGTGGAGGAGCTTGTGAAAGGGAAGACAATAGACCATGCCAGCCTCACTCCAACTATTTTACAGCTTCTGTTCTCCAGAGATGGCATCGCTCTAATGCACTCACTAGAGAGAGAGACGGGAACCTATATTCTTTTTGACAGGCGTAACGTCAGTGTACAGGTCTTCGGTTCTTCAGACCAAGTTAGTGTGGTCCAGCAGAAATTGGTTGACTCCCTTTTAACGCTCCATGAAAATAAGCTGATTGAGATCCGACTTCAAGGTAGTGCCTTACCTCCTGAGTTGATGAAAGAGGTTGTTAACAGGTTTGGGGCAGACCTCCATGGGCTCAAAGAGAAGGTACCAGGGGCTGATTTTAGTCTAAATGTTCGCCGTCAAGTCATTTCCATTCATGGAAACAAGGATTTGAAGCAGAAAGTAGAAGATAATATTTATGAGATTGCACAGATGACAGGTAGTTCAACTGAGAGGTTTAATAGTGAAGCTGATTGCCCCATATGTTTGTGTGAGATTGAAGATGAATACCGGCTTGCGGTGTGTGGGCATTTATTTTGTCGTTTGTGTTTGGTGGAGCAGTGCGAGTCTGCAATAAAAAACCAAGATAGTTTCCCAATGTGCTGTGCACACGAGGGTTGCAGGTCTCTTATTGTGTTCAGTGATCTGAGATATCTCTTATCAAGTGAGAAGCTGGAGGAGCTCTTTAGGGCCTCATTGGGATCATTTATTGCTTCAAGTGGGGGAATCTACAGGTTTTGCCCTTCTCCTGACTGCTCGTCTGTGTATCAGGTAGCTGCTCCTGGGACAGATGGTGAACCATTCGTATGTGGTGCATGTTATGCTGAGACATGTACCCGGTGCCATTTAGAATATCATCCATACTTGTCGTGTGAGCAGTACCGGGAGTTCAAGGAAGATCCAGATTCATCATTGAAGGAGTGGTGCAAAGGAAAAGAACATGTGAAGAGCTGCCCGGTATGCAGGTATACAATTGAGAAGATAGATGGGTGCAACCATATAGAATGTAGGTGTGGGAAGCATATTTGCTGGGTGTGCTTGGCGTCTTACGGAACCAGCAATGAATGCTATGACCATTTGAGGAGTGTTCACATGGCCATCATTTGAATATCAAAGTGCTCATCATGTTTACTTATATGCTGCTGCCTTTAGCTTTGTACTATTAATCTATACACAGTTTGTAGAGTAGAAAAAAGATGGAATAGGTAAAGATAAATAACAGCTGGTGTTGCTGTGGTTGCTTAAGCTAAAGTAGTTGCTTAGTGTGCCCTTATTTTTTCTTTAATTTATATTTTCTTATCGTCACAGGGCTCCTCAATCCTCCTCACACATGTATAAATGGTTAGGCCTCTCTGTACACTGCTTTTAACTTGAGTGAATTCTAGCCAATTTTCCGTTTCTCATCCAATTTGGATGTTATGAGCTGATCTACATTTTTAGCGCTTGGTTTTAACAGTAAACAGGCAAGTGCTCTCAACTCCAACAAGCTCTTGTATTCAGTAATTGTTTACATAGAAGTGCTAAGTTCAATCGCCCATAAGTGTGAGCTGTATTTGGGGCTCACAATTTATCTACAGTTGTGGGGCTCGTAATGTATCAATACTCCATGAGACTGGGGCTGATCTTGACCGTTGATTCATATGGAGCTCACAATGTATCACAGTATCTAGAGGGTGATTAAAAACCCTTCTTATTTCTAACATGGAGACAGATATTTGTCTGGTATCTGCTATATGGAGAAGTGCAAAGTGGGTCCTAAACTCAATGGGACCCACTAAACCATAAGCCTACATAATCTCACATAAACCTTTATATTTTATTTTTTCCCCATAACACAATGTTGCATAATTGCAGAATATTTCTTTAACATATGCTCTGCAGTTGGAAATATACAGACACAAGTTACCTTTTAAGCTTGAAATGTGTATTCATTTACCAGGTATGATCATGTATACACCTATTTTTCTCTTTCGCTATGGCCTTTTACAAAAATGAAATTTCAACATAAATATCTGCAGCCAAATGCAAAGCCTACCCCGGCAATGCCAAAACAAAGAGCTAAAGCTACAATCCAAGAAATGCCATCCCCATTCTCACCCTCATCTCCTTCCTTCACCGACTGCTCCTCCAAACCCTTTGATCTGCCACCCCAAAAAGATCCCTCTTCCTCTTGCTGTGCCCATTGTGACTCCAACTTGGAAACTTTAAGCTCAAGCAGCCTCACCCATTGCCTATACGCAAACAACTCCCTGGCCTCCGCAAGCAGAGCATCAGAAAGGCAGTCTTTCTCCTTTCCCAATTTCTCAGCCTTCTTCTCTGCCTCTCTTGCTCTTGTCTGCGACAGCCTCAACGCCTTCAAAAGCTCCAACTTCTCATTCTCGCCGCCGTCACCTCTGTTTCCACACATGTCAAATTCATCCCTGTTGTCATCTTCTTGGGTCATACTCATGCTGCAAGCCCTGTTCATGGATGACAAAACAGTCTTGTTATCGGAACCCGTAAAGAATTTCATCGGAGGAGGAAGATCGCAGTTCTGTATGAGGTCCAAACCAGAAGACTTGTGAGAAACAGGAGTTAAATTTAGACCCTTCAACATTTCATTCCCATCCACCGCTTTGGGAGTCAACTTTGGGTTATTTGATGTCCACCCCGCCATGGATATGGGACTGATCATCATGCATACAATGAATATAGGCTAAATCTGAACGATTTAGCCAAATGGGTTCGATCAGAAAAGCAAAAAAGAAGCAAAAAAAGGGGGAAAAGAAACTGATGAGGCGTGGAAAGTAAGAGGAAGTTTGGTGGAGATGGGGGTGGTTGGGATAGCGTGGCCGAAAGAAACGGGGTCGTGTACGATTGGGCAAAGCTAAGCTACAATTTACAAAAGGGATTTTTATGACTTGAATTGTTTTGTTGGTAATTGCTTTTAGTGCAAGGGAAAGGTCGTTGCTTGTTGGGTTAAACAAACATATATGCGTTATACAATTTGGTGGGTGGGGAGAGGGGAGAGGAGAAAAACTTTCCTGACATGGCGATGCCAGGTCAGTTTTCCCCCTCATTATCCCAAGCTAATACAATACTGCCACCTGTTCAAAGTCTTTCTTGTCTTTGTTCAATCCCTTCTTCTTCCTCTCTTCTATTAATAGAATGTTTATATATATATATATATATATATATATATATATTTTAATGAAGTAATGTATTTTATTGCTACAAATAATGACATTTTTATTTATTTACAATGAAGTAATGCTAATAAAATTTGGTTTGATGTACAATTTTGTTCATAATATTAATAACTCAAAGAAGAAAATTTTTATTTTTTTTCTTTTCGCTTGATATCAGTAACTCAAAGAAGAAATATGTTTTTTCTTTGATCAAGTGTAACGTGGGTAACTGGCGAAAAGAAAAACATACTTTACCAGTTATCCATGTTACCCACCAAGGCACTGACGTCTCCACCCTCAGTTTGTCTTAAACTCTTAATATTAAAAGGATTAATTACTTGTAACCCAAAAAAAAAAAAGGATTAATTAGGATTAAATTTAAAATGAATGGAGCAAGATATATACGCCAACGGTTGTAATGAAGTCTAGGAGAGAACGACGAGAACAATATTTCACACACTAAAACTACGTTGTATATTACCATTTTGTTTGTTCCTCTGGTACATGAAATGGATGGGGGGGAGTGTACGGTGTAGACCTAACGCCGCCCACGAAGTTGACGTGGGTTGCCCTGCTGTCGGTTGTTGTTTTTTTGTTTTTTTGTTTTATTTTAGGCAAAAAATCATTTTTGATTCCTGTAATTTGTCACATTTATCATTTTGATCCGTATGGTTTCAATTTAATCAATTTTATCTTTGTAATTTCAATTTAATGCAATTTAAGGACAATTTTCAATTTCTGTCAATTTTTTTTTTCACTTTGTTAGCTGTAGGTAGGCAATTTGGTCAACAAATTATTATTAAAAAAATACACTCCCTTTCAAAATAAATAATACAAATATTAATTTTAAAAAATTAATTTTAAAATAAAAATAAAACCTCTCTACCCCAGGACGACATCGTCCTCCACCTCCACATCCACGCCCTCCGCCGCTGCAAGTACTTCACCGCCGTCTTATCCAACTGATGGTAGCGCCGCCCCAAAAACGACGCCGTACGCAAGGGCAACCTGAGGATCCCACCTTCAGTCTGTCGAGATTGACTCCGGCCAATCTGGTAAGGTTTTGCTCCAGTGGGTAAACCAAAGTCTCAAATTTTACAAAGTCTCCACCCAAGCCCGTCCAAACCCCAAACAAGGAAAGAAACCTCTTATTCAGCACCACCTTGACTAAATGTCTTGCAGCACCCAAACTCCTAAGACGAGAATAAAATCCTCATCGGCAAGCCTAGTTGTTTTTCAAAAACAATAGAAGGGGGAGAACAAAGTCAACATCAAGCATCAGCAAAAGTAATTCAAATTGAACACTCTGCTTCAAACAAAAAGAGGGGCTGACCTTGACATGCGGATTGGCAAGATCAGCCCATATCAATTGCCAAACAGCAATTGCAAAAATCTCAGGGCAAATGAGGGACCAACCTGCTCAGCGATTTGGTTGTTTGGAGTTTGGGCGCTTGGGTGGCTGGGGTGTTGGTTGGGTTACAGGGAGGCGGTGGCTGGCTGGGGTTGGGTGTAGTGTAGGGGTTGGGGCTAGGAGCAGTAGGGGGGAGAGAGGACATTTTATTTTTATTTTAAAACTATTTTTTTATAATATATATTGTTTCTTTTTAGAAAGGAGTGGATTTTAAATATTAGTAGACTGAATTGCCCTTCCACAAGTAACAGAAGTTTAACCAAATTGACAGAAATTTAGAAATTTTTTTTAATTGCTTTAAATTAAAACCATAAAGACAAAATTGATCAAATTGAAACAATAGGGACTAAAATGATAAAAATGACAAATTACAATGATAAAAAATGACATTTTGTCTTTATTTTATTGCACAGTAGGTAGTATCAGAGTTTTATGGGAAAATATTCAAGGAGGGTGATTTCAAAAGATTAGAGGTTACAATAAAATATCCCTTTCATTTTATGCATATTTTTATTATTGTTAAAGGGCCGTTTGATAATCATTTCAATTTGAGTAATGATACTCTTACCACATTTGTATACCACTTTATGTAGTATATGAAGTAGGCTATCAAGAGGTCCATATGCTGATGCCACAGATTGTATTCATTTTTCATAAATGAAATAATGACTTTATACATTGCACAAACTGAGATGTCCTCTCTCTTTTCCCTCTTCTCTTGTGGATTTGATATATGAATTATGAAGTAGCCACAGTGAAAAATATCATATAACTTATTCAACATATACCCCCATTGGCAGCGCATGTATCTCGTGAGGGTGGGAAGTTTGATTGGGATCAACTTTGGCCTGAGTGGTTGTTTGACACTCTTGCTGCTGATGTAAACATTTCAATTCGGCTTTAATAAATTTATTCCATCTTTTGACCAAAAAAAAAAAAAAAAGACAGCCACATCAATTAAAAAATTTCAATAACTCATAAAATAAAAGAAAATATTAAATTAATTTTAATTGATATGGTTGTCCATCTCATCTACCATATAAGGTGGTATGTGAATGTGATAAGAGTAACATAATCTTTCATTTTTAGTTTTTAGTTTTTATTTTTTGTGCTAGAGTATATAGGAAAATGAGAGTGAAAATAAGAGTGAGTATGAGATTGAGAGAGAGGATGAGAGGTAAGGAAGGGAGGGAGGAGTAACAAAAGTGAAAACAATTTCAAATAGATTTTAGTTTCTAGTTTTTGTTTTCACTTTTGTTACTCATTTCTCCCATTATCCCCTAGCTTCTTCCCCATCAATCCTATATTCACTCTCGTTCTCACTTTCATTCCCCTTTATTTTTCTCTATACTCTAGCACAAAAAAAATAAAAAATAAAAAATAAAATAAAAATGATTATCAAACGGACCCTAAATGTGCCAAATGACATGTAAAAAGGTTCTTCACTTTTTGATGCAAAAAAAATTATTCAGAGCAATTGGGTATTTTGGGATTGCATAAAAACGCAAAAGAGAAAAAAAAAAATTGCAAATTATTTGATGAGTGATCTACAGAGAAATTGACAAGTTATTGCCAAGGTGAGTGGAAGTCTGATCAATCAATGTAGTGGTATAGTGTTGTCAAGACTTCTTCTCACCCTCCCCTTTTACAGAATCAACATCTGACCCATTAGTTAGTGCCTTCTCAACCTCTTCCTCCACTTCCTCTACCTGCAATTAAAATATATGAAAACGAAAAAAGAATCCAAATTTAATTAATTAATTAATTACAATTTGTAAAGTTAATTATGGAGTTACTAATTCACCTTGCGGATGACATCCTTGGCTAGCTCAGCTTTTTTGACTGCATCTTCAGCGAGATGTTCAACGGACTCTACAGCATCTCTGAGCTTAGCATCCTCAGGAAGCTTGTCTTCTACCTGCTCAGCCACCTTCTCTACTTCCTCAGCCAACTCTTCCACCACCTCTGTCACAGATTCCACTGTGTCTACTGCCACGTCCACCTTGTCTGATTTAATCATACAGAGGAATTAATAACTTCAGAGAATAATTTTAATCATAACAAATATTAAGAACTTGAAAGTGTACTTTTAAGGGCCAGCAAGGGTCCCCATTTGTGTCTCAAAGAAGGTATTATTATTGACAACATTAATCCCAGAATCCAGTTTTTCCTGCACAGAAAGGCAAAAATCATAGGAAACTGATGATCAAAGAGCTGCTGATGATTTCTGTTGCCTGCCACTAACAATTAACAGACTAAACACAAAAACAAAAACAAAAAAATAATTAATTAACCTCACCATGTAGATAATGGAGATTTATCTGCAGGACTTTGAGTTTCTGGTGGAGATTTTTCTGATGCTTGAGTCACCCTTCACTCCAGCCAATTTTTGGGACAATTTAGATGACTTTCAACTGAAGGATTGGTGCATATAAAGAACATCCTTAATTATAATTAATGGTGTATTAGTGAAACTTACTTGGTAATTAGCAGTCTGTGATGAGATCTGATCAATTGATGATCATATGGGAATTTGGTGAATGATGATCTTTGATAAGCCAACATGGGATGCTGCTGATCAGAAGTCAAAGGCAGGCTATGCAAAGTGGCATGCAGGACTTGGAGCTTGGTTTTTTGGCTATGGAGGGTGGACATGGGAGGGAGGAAGCCATTGATGGTTGCCATTAGATCAAATGGGAAGCAATTTCTACAACTTCAAGGCCAAAAACAGAACTGAGAAAAGAAAATAGAAATGAAAATGGGGTTTTTTTTTTCTAAGGGCTTTGCTTATTTGATGCCAGGCCCCTACTAAGACTAGGATGTGGTACTGTACTGTGAATTGGACCCATGTGCAGGGAGTTAAATAAATGAGGATGGAAAATTTAAGAGATATTTAGTCATATATTCATTCTTAGCATTAATAATATAGATAAATTTTACATTATTTAATTTCTATAAACAAATCCAAAAACTGACAGCTGACCCTATTGAATTAAAATTTGATTATTAAATTACTTTGGTGTCCTATTGAGTGTTTTGAGTTTTTTTAATGAGATTTTGGAGTTGGTTTTGTTTTAAGAAATCAATGGCAGTTTTGTAATTTAAAAGAAGTTAAAAGCCTTTTTATTATGTTGTAAATGAATTTTGGGTGTGTTTCCAAAGTCCATTTCATATAAGTATTTTTTATAATTTAGGCTCCTATATTAGGTATAATAGTGACTCTCCCAAAATTTAATTGCCTCCATCGACCAATAGGAAAACACATGTTCTAATCATTAACATAGAAAAATAAAACAAACAAATGAAAAAGGAGTTCATTTTCCTACTCCTCTTTTTTTCACTTGCACTCTTTTTTTTGTTAATAGTAAAATGTATTTTAAAAAATAAAATGGAGTGTAAGTGGACAAAAGAGAAACGGGAAAATTACCACCCATAAAAACAAGAAAAAAAATATAGAAAACACATGTTAGTACAAATCATCTTTTACTAGAGAAGAAAATCTTCTGTGGATGATAAGATACTCTAAAAAATCTTTGTGAATCATAAGATACCCTCAAGGCCAATGGGCTAGTCTATTTTGAAAAAACTTTGACTTACAAATTGATGGTCTTAAATTTGGCTGAAGACACATTATTTTAGGGCAGAAGTGTAAAACAACTAAAAATATATTTAAAAAATAAAATAATGGCAATGGGATAACCACTGTGTTATTATTATTATTTTTTTTTTGGGGATAACTATAACTAATAGAAAAATTAAAATTAAAAAAAAAATTGTAAGGTCTCTGTCGCCATAATTGATCTCCAACTGCAATCATCGAATTTCATTATCTTTTTTACATCGTTTATGTCGTGCAGGGATAAATCATAATCATATCCCATACTATCTTCCACAGGATATGGATCTTTATTGTACCAGAGAGATGACTTGCAATGTTCCCATATGATTTACAGCGCGACAGAGAAAACTATGGATAGGGACCCATAAATCAGAAATTTGAATATATGCGGCCCCAGGTCCATAATATTTAGGTACTGTATTTTCAGTCCAAAAAATGAAAAGGAAAGAAGTACACTATATTTATATTATTTTAATTGGTCAAAATTGGACTTGGTAAGTCATGATAAAGTAGTGCTAGTAAAGGCGGTGCTCGCATTTAAATGCACGATCTAGAAGTTGGCCGGTAGGGTTTAGCTCAATGAAAAAGACATTGACTTGTAGATTGGTGGTCTTATATTTGTATTTTCATGCCACCTTGATATTATCCGTGACAGAAAACCACCCTCCCTCGATATTATTTGTATTAAAAAAAATGCAGGATCTAGAAGCTTTGTTTTTGTTTCGTTTTTTTATAATTTTTTTCATCCAAGTTTTTTTGTGATTTGTGATGGGAATGAAAGTCAAACAATACCAACATGAAGTTTAAGTTGGTCTAATAACAAATAATGAATACATTCTGTTATATCAAACTGTAATTTGTAAACACCAGTTCAGAGTTCGTATCTGTTTTGTTAAAAATTGAATTCATTTTGTTGTTGTTTTTTTTACAGTTAGATATAACAGAATGATAAGTTAGTTCATCTCTGATTTGAACATCAAATTTATATCACTGAAATTTCTTCTCTACTGGTACAATATTTGGTTCATCAGCAATAACTTTGGTCAAGTCTCCTGCTTTATCCATGGCTGATTCAAAAAAGTTTTCCACCCGATCTTCCACTTCTTCTGCCTGCATTTTTTTTTTCACAGAAAACATAATTAGCTCCTGATGAAATTGAACTAATTTCATATGTGTGTGTGGAGAAAATTAATTATCTAAGTTTTATATGTTATATAAACTTTGGGCAATGATTTCCCCACTCCCATTTTATCCACTTACACTCCTTTTTTAGTTATAAAAAAGGAGTGTAAGTGGATAAAATAGGAGAAAAAGGAGTGGGGAAATCACCACTCTAAACTTTAACTAACCTTCTCAATCAGCTGGTCTGCAAGATGAGCATCTTTGGCTGCTTCTCTGGCTAAACTTTCAACTAAATCAGCTGCAACCTTAAGCTTTCCATCGGGAAGACGATCGCCTATTTCATCCGCCACTTCCTCCACTTTCTCAGCTACCTGTTCTACCACCTCCACCACTGCTTCAACATTGTCTACAATCATGTCCACCTCCTCTACACAATCGAAACGAAATTCGATTTTTCTGATGAGAAGGAAGTCTTAAATATAGTCATGAAAGGTAATTTTTAGATTCAACGACACAAACAAGTCTCGTGCATGAGATTTGAACTCGGGACCTCCTCCACCATAACAAGAGTAAATTTGAAAACTTACTTTTCAATTGTAGCAAGGGCCCCCATTTGTGCCTCCAAAAGGGTATAATTACTGAGAGTACAATCCCAATCATCCAGCTTCTCCTGTTTACATGATGAAATAATTTACAGTTTTTATTATACTACTTGAAGAAAAAGGGAAGAAGATCAAATGAATTCATTGAGGTCTGATTGCTAATTACAAAGAGTGTGAAGGGGCTCCAGAAGGACTTTGAACTTCAGGTGATGGAGAACTATTGCACACAATCTTATTCCTACATGGTTGGCTGCTAAGAGTTCTCCTCTGTCCTATTGTGAGAGACAACAATGCATGGTTGGTTCTGAAACCTTGTTGGCATTTCCACGTTGACGATGATGAAAAATGTTGAACTACTCCAGGTCCAGGATGCTTAGCAAAAAGGCGATGACTGCTCGTCCATCGGCTAAGATGAATCGATGATGCGATTGCCGACATTGGTTATCTTGATCAAATCCTCCAATTGGCAGTTCCAAAAGTGCCTTATATCAATCTCCAAATTTTTTCAAAAATGATGGATGTTTTGGTGATGAGAGGTTTCGCTGTTTTGGTGGTAGTATATATAGCCTACTGGGTTCAAATGTGAAGAACGTAGTCTTGGAAAGTACGAAGAAATTGTCCACAAGAGGAAAGTACGAAGCAGATGACTTGTTCTATGTACGTTCCCCATGGTCAACTACGAGCTTTCTTTTTTCCCTTTCATTTCAAGCCAACGCGCTTAATTGTTATGAAAGATTTGAGCTTCAAATCCGTTTGGTTGAGTTGAAAACATCAGCTAAATTTTTTATCAAAGTTAGCTAAAATTTTTAAGAAGTAGCTCATCTGATTCTTGAAAATTCCGTTCACGGATCTACAACAGAAAAAAGAAACTGGTCATTTCTTTACTTCACGGCAGATTATTCTTACAACTCATTTATCTCATAATTTATAAGTTTCACATGCAATATGAAATATATCTTAGAGGTGTGTGACTATATGTTTGAATGAAATTGAAAGGAAGGTAAGCATACTGTTGTTTGTGCAAATTTCCTCCGAGGAGAATATTCGCGAATAATCCTTTTCACACTCTTCCTCTATCCACGTGTCACCTTGTCATTGATCGTCAAAATTCATGTTCGCACAACTGCTGGGATAGAGATGCTTTTAAGGTATAGAGATATGTTAAAATAACAAACGCATTATTAGTGTTTCTTTTGAAAAAGGAGCGGTGGCACATGCCCTGTGAGCTTTCCAACCCTATGTATATTAATTAATTACAAATAATCTTTGGGTTGATCCTTTAATCCAATACAATATACCAAGGCCAGCTAGACTCTGATAGGGATGACGCTTTGGAAGGGCCGATAGAGACAATTTGATATTACGCAAGGACAAAACAACAAACAAAAGAAACACGTTTTCTGGCCAACATATATGTTAGAATATTATATATATATATATATATATATATATGACCGTTGGCTTAAGCTTTTTTCAAATGATAGTAAACTACAAAGTTTAATATGACATTAAAACAAACAAAAGGTGTAATATGATAATGTTCACTTGTTACACACCAATTGTTTAATTGATCCATTTTAATTAATACATGTTGGGAGTTCAGTTGAGAGAGAGAGAGAGAGAGAGAGAGAGGGCTGTTGAGGAGGGAGGATGGGAATATATATATTACAATAATATAATAATTTGATTTCATTGGAGTGTCAATATTGTCAACGATAAAACAGGGGAACCTTGAATTCTTAGGGTGAAAATTTTCATATGCGTATATGAGTCTAAGTAAGTACGTTGACACCAAGGGATAAGAAGAAAGAATCAACCAAATGAGAAATTATTGTAAGGTATTAGAATACGGTCATGTGGTATAATCTTTGTGCATGTTATAATATAGACGGATGACAATAAACTTATTATAATATGTCAATGAGTTATATCAATTGACAATGTTTCCTCAAAGAAAATAAGGAGATTAATAAATAAACAAATAAAGGAGAGAAATTGAATGTAACCGCTACCAAACTCTATTTCCTCATCCATTCTTTCACCAAACTAGAAGAGAAATAAAATGTAATTACAATTTTATTCATATATGAAATAACGCTGAAGGACCATTTATACACACAAAAAAGTGAAAAAAAAAAAAAAAAAAAGGTTTAATAAAATTAGAATTGCAGGAAGCTTACCATGAAAATTATTATTTTTTCTTATTGTCTTGTAGAGAAAAGATGTTTTGAGAATAATAGAGAGGAACTTAGGAATAGAAGGTGGCTGGAGAAATATTTGTTCTTTACTCTTTTTTTTTCTTTGTAAATGGAGAATATATGTTAATTTGGTGGTGCAAATAAGGTTGCCGGTAAGATGCGGTAATGATTTCATCAATAGAACTTGATAATCTATTAGAAAAGAATGAATATTAATTAATACAATTTTACAGAAACATTTGGAGATGACAGAATTATTGGTATCCTGTTCATCTCTGATTGGAAAATCTTATATATATCACTGGATTTTCTTTTCTACTTGTACATTTTGTTCATCACCAACATCTTTGGTGATCACATTCCCTGCTTGATCCACGGCTGACTCAAAGAAGTCTTCTACCCGATCTTCCACTTCTTCAGCCTGCATTTTTGAGACAAAACTCTAATTAATTTTTAGCCACCTTCTCGTGTGCTGAAGAAAAAATTATCTGAATTCATTTTCATGTTTTACATATAATAATTTAAGTACCTTCTCAATCAGCTGGTCTGCAAGGTGGGCATCTTTGGCTGTTTCTTTGGCTATACTTTCAACTGCTTCAAGTGCATCCTTAAGCTTTCCATCAGGAAGATGATCGCCTATATCGTCTGCCACTTCCTCCACTTTCTCAGCTACCTGCTCTACCACCTCCACCACTGCCTCAACTGTGTCTACAATCATGTCCACCTCCTCTGCACAATCAAAACCCAATTCAATTTTTCTGATGAGAAAAGCGAAAATATATTCAAGATACGCAACAACACAACTACGATTCGAACCCAAAACCTCTTCCAATAGGGTAAACTAGAATATTACTCACTTTTCATTGTTAGCAAGGGCGCCCATTTGTTCCTCCAAAAGGGTATAATTACTGATAATACTATCCCTATCATCCATCCTTTCCTGTTTATAATAATTTGAAAAAAGTTAAAAAATAGTATAAATGAATATTCATTAATATAGATTATAGAGCATTGAAAGGTCTGATCTGATTGCTAATTACCAGGAGTGTGAAGGGCCTGGAACTCCAGGTAATGGAGAACTATTGCACACAATCTTATTCCTACATGGCTGCCTGCTAAAAACATTCCTCTGCCCTATTGTGAGAGACAACAATTCATGGTTGGTTCTGAAACCTTGTTGGCATTTCAACGTTGCCGATGAGACATGCTGAAACACTCCAGGATGCTTGACGAAAAGGCGGCTACTCGACCGGCAAAGATCAACCGATGTGATTGTTGACATGGGTTCTTCTTGATCAACTCCTCCAATATAACTGTCCAAAAATAATTTGAATTTTGTTAATGAGAGTTTTTCTTTTGATGGTGGTATATTTATAGACTATCTGGGTTCAATGTGAAGATTAGTCAAGGAAGCACGTTCCATGAGGGGTTCAACGTGAATATTGTAATCGTAAGCATTTCTTAATGGATTTGGTGCAATGGATAATTGCATATGCATGACAACAGGAAAGTGCGAAACAGATGACTTGTTCTCCATGGTCAACTAGGAGTTTTTCTTTGACAGTATTTTGTTTAAAGCCACGTGGGAAATTATATATTAATAATATCTCTGATATAAATAATATTTCCTTCGTCATAGGTTCGAGTGACGTTGACGACTTTATAGGAATTAATTACAAATTAATGCTTGGCTTGAAGCATAATTAATCCAATCCAATACCAAGTCCAGCTTTTTGGTCCAAAAAAAAACCAAGTCCAGCTGGAGGCTGACAGGGATGAATAATTCATCATGAATTGATAGCTTTTGGAAAGTCATGTGGAAACAACTTGCTTTTACTCAAGGACAAAACATTGGTAAACCAACGTTTCCAACTTGTTAAAAAAATAAAATAACACGTTTTATATATAGCCCAAATATTCAACACAGAACTGTTAGAATATAATTAATATAAACCCTCGGCTTATGCTTGTTGGTCGCACCGATTATTTTTTTAATTGGGCTTACATCCACTCTCCTTAATTAATCAAAGGGCTCACATGTTGGAGTCCAGTTGTGAGAGGGGGATGGGAATATTAAAAATATAGGAACAATTAATAAAAAAATAGGAACCTTTAAATTATTGTTAAGTGAATTGCTTAGGGTTTATGTCTAAGTCAAGGAAGTAAATAGAAATCAATGAGGAAAATCACGAGAAAGATTTAAGAGATGTAGGTGACATGCGGTGCATTGTATGCAGACTTTAACTACCGCGCTTCTTCAAACTCAAGATGTTTTAGGCAACATGTGGATTGGTAAATGGTCAATGAACAGGAACTGGAATTGGCAACTGGAGCAAAGATTGGAACAAGAACTTGGAGATGAACTAGAACAGGAATTGATTAAAACGATTAAATCAATTAATGGATGGCAATATGAGCAGATTAGGGAAGCTGAGGGTAGAACGGAAACTAGAGACAATGGTTGATGGTTGATGGCCACCATCTCCTAGGGTGGTGGGGGCAAAATGACATAATTAAATTAAGGGGAAAGAATGCATTAAGAGTTATTACGAGTTAAGTGGTTAAATGAATTGACTTTTATGCCTGTTAAAACATTGAAAGTTAGATTCTCATCTAATAAAATTTTATATGGTTTAAATTAGTACGAGTAGGTAACATGTGGTGCATTGTACTGTACGCATGCCTTACACCGTGAAGGACGTGAAAAACATGATTTCTCTCGGAGAAAAAGAGGCATAATTGACAAGAAAATAGGGGGAAATATGGAGAAAAGATGTTTTGATGGGAATGATCTAATTGTTGGCATTAGTAGATTAAAGAATAATCACTTTAATTAGGCTTTCCAAGTAGATGTGTAAAATCCATGTTGAAAGTATAGGATCAAGGCTTTCATATATGTAACGTCAGAGTAGGGACGAGGTCAAGGAAACTTGTAGGAAAAAACGTGACAGTTGGCGAAGGTGAAATCTTTAGTTAGTAGAGATTAGGTAACGAAAATGTCAATTTGGGAACAATAAAGGCAATGGGGGGCAGGTAGGGAAATATGTTTGGCGGTGACAATAGCACCATTTGTTTATTATTATGAGATGCAAATTGTAATCCTGAATTGCCTGTTGTTGAGGCCCAAAAAATCCATGGTTGAGCTCGAATAAATTTCTAGCCCAAGACGATATATTATTGAAAAAAGATCCGATTTGGAGCACATGAAAGTATGACATACACGAGTCATACTCCGCACGCCATGCTAAATAAAAAATCCGTCAAGCTAGGAATTGAGATTAAAATTATAAAATGCATTTAGCTCTGCAAATCCATGCCAATTATCCTATCAAGAGCCATATTTAAAAGCATGCCAA